GTGTGTGTGTGTGTGTGTGTGTGTGTGTGTGTACCTCTATAGCCATCTGGAACTGTTCATGCTCCCTCTGCAGCTGTTCGGCCTCAGACAGAGAGCTGGCATTCACCATGCTGGCATTCAACATGGACTCACCGTTACGAATCCAACCCAGTACCTGAACAGGTACAAAAACACAACACAACGAGATTTGACAAGATACCTCTGACAGTCTGTGTATTTTTGTGCTTTTCAACTCACAGAATTATAGTATACAGCACTAAAATGTTACAGCTTGAAAGGTCAAAAATATGTAGTAAACCAGCATAATCTGGTATGAAGATGATGGGGGAGCACAACAGCTCCTTTTATGAAACACTTCAAACCAGATCTGAGATGCCTGTTCTCTGTCTCAATCTGATTAATAAAAAGACTGAGGTGAGATAAGTATTTTAAAGTCAATCCACCAATGTTAGTCCTTTGAGCAGCCAAGGAAGTTAAAAACTGAGCTATAATAGATGAAATATGAAAGGGTAAGTCTGCATTGCAGCTTTCATAGTTGTGGTTCTCAATTGGTGATTTGTGAACAGGCGGTTGGAGCTTTAGGTCTTTGCTGTCATACCAAGGAACTGTTCTGTTCTGTTCTGTTCATTCACTCCAACAGAGTGAGTTCCACCATACACAGACTGGTTTTGTAGCTCCAGCTGAGCCCTGCGAGGATATGAACATGGTACCTTGAACCATTGTCCAATGGTACAATGGCTTTTTTACATAAAAGATACCATGCAAAATGATAAGAAATGGTTCTCCTTCCAGCTTATAACCCCAATAACACATTGGAGAACTCAATGACAGGACACCAGAGAAAAGTACCACATTACACATATCAGCAGCCTAGCCATGGTTAAAAACAAATGGTCTAGAGAGCGGAGACCAAGCCCAACCTCCAGCAAACTTCTGTAATTGTACATTATCTGTATGGGGAGCTTATTGGCTCAAATGAAAGGAATAACGAGAGTCAACTATTTAACAAATCTAAGTAGTATTGACTATTGACACATCAAATAAGAGGCAGCAGGAGGACTTTCTAAAAGCTTTAATTATTAAAAAAGCATAAACACACTCCTAAACTCCAAATCCAATTGAAACTAGAGGGCAGTCTAAGACTTTCAATCAAACCAAGCAGGGGAGAAAGAGACAAACTTACATCTGCTACAGTGAAGATAGTATCATCAGCATAAGGTTTGATACTGCTCCTAATTAGGGAAATGATCTGATAATAATGGCCAAATGTTGGGGAGTGAGTTGGAAAAGAATAAGAGAGACGTCCCTGCTTTGGACCATGGTACAGAGCAAAGTGAAGGGGCAGAGTTGGTATTAAAAAAAGTTTTAGAAGAGACATAAGCTGGAAACATACTCCCTCCGACACCAACGAGTCGGCGCGCGGTCACGTGGTTGTTCGGCAGTCGTTCTCGCACACTCCTTTCATAGCTCCAGAGACACACCGCGCCGAGCTCCTGGGAAACCCTCCCGCTGCAGCACATGTCACTGCATGGAGTTTCTTCACGTGACAGCCGACAATGCAGAAAAAAAGTCAGACTCGTCACTCACCCGACGTATTTATCCACATCTGTCCCATTTAAAGCTCCACAGTTTTTATCAGTCAGATTCCTCCGTGCACAACGTCTGTTTAATCTCCACTCGTGAGTTTTTCACGGTTTGACTATCTTTATAAAACTCTGCTTCCTGGTCAGCTGGTTCTGGGAGCGAGTCGGGGTTTTTTTTCTTCCTTTTTTTACCGAGTGGTTGAAGTAAATACAGCAGCGCTTTCAGCAGAAACAACACGCCATGAGTTTTTCTCGGTTTGACTATCTTTAAAACTCTGCTTCAACAGTCAGCTCTAAAAGYGAGTTTTATTTATTTATTTTTTCTTTTGAGTGTCCAAGCGCTTTCAGTTTCAGCAAAAACAAACACGCCCACGAACTTCAGACCAATCACACATTACCGTCGTTGCGGGAGGGGGGTAAAAAGTTCTGCTGGCGGGTTGTGCCAAAAGGGGCTGCTGAGCCGACGCTGTGAAGCCTGGTGATGTAATTTTCGTCATGAAACTGTGACAACCCGTGCCGACGTCAGCAGTTCGGAGGGAGTATGTTTTTAGCTATACAGGTGCTGGTCATAAAATTAGAATATCATGAAAAAGTAGATTTATTTCAGTAATTCCATTTAAAAAGTGAAACTTGTATATTATATTCATACATTA